TCCTGGCCAAACCAGAAGTTGAACCTTTTTCAAAATGGATACCATGGGATGTGTGCCTGTAACAAGCAACCTGGCTCTCCATAAGTCCTGGCAACGCCTGGTGTGCAGGACATCAGGGCATCTGCTCTCCCAACTGGGCCTCACCCCCACGTCTGGGGAAGGGGAGCAGCTGATCAAGGCCTTTCATTGATGGCTCTTCAAAGACACTGAAAGGGCCAGCAGGAGGCAGAGGGAGGCTCATAACCGGCATTGTCTCCCTTCTGGAGCCACTCAGCCAGCCCTTAATCAAAGAGCAAGCATTAGTGGCGATTTAGGGTCTGATGTGTCCATCCACCACACAGCCCTGCTAATGGCAGTTCTTTAGAATCATCTCTGCTACAAAGGCCAGAGCCAAGGATGGTGCTCCAGCCTGCACAGCCTGAGGAATCCTCTTTCTACCCACCCTACTCACTGCACAGCCCAAAGCTCAGCACCACCCCCAGAAACACAGCCTCAGGATTTCAGACAGTGACCCAGTTCCCACAGAGCGTCCCTCCCCCAGCAAAGTCCCCTAACCTGTGTGTGTGTTCACCCTAATATTTAGGGCCTGAACTTCGATGGGTTCACAGCTGGTACCTCAATTCCTAGACCAGTGTCTGGTATAGGTATGCAATAAATGTGAATAAGTGAATAAATGAACTATGTGTTCTATGGCAAGAGCACCATTTAAAAATCTATTATTGTAAGCTGGGTGCTGGTAGTAGCTCATGTTTGTCATCCTAGCTACTCAGGAGGCTAAGATATGAGGATCAAGGGTCAAAGCCAACCACAGCAGACAAATCTAAGAGACACATCTACAATTAACCACCAAAAAGATGGAGGTGGAGCTATAACTCAAGTGGTAGAGAACTAGCCTTGAGCAAAAATAAATAGATAAATAAATAAACAAATAAATAAATAAAGCTCAAGGACAGCACCAAGACCCTGAGCCCAAGCCCCAGTTCCAGCACAAAAAGAAGAAAAAGAACTTTAGGACTGGGGCTATAGCATAAGCATTAGAGTACCCACCTAGCAAGCTTAAGGCCCTGAGTTCAAACCCGAGGACCACCAAAAAGCTCTTTTAAAGATGTTAAACGTATAAGGTGCATACAGACACACACATGCAGAAAGAGAGAGAGAGAGTCTCTGATCCAAAGACTGAGTCCTACCTCACAGCCCTCACAAGGAACTAGTCCTCTAATTTCTTGCTCCTAAGATTTCTAACTCCCAGTTTACTGTGAGGTAATAAACTTGGTGAAGCCACCAGCCTATAGTACTGCATAACAGCTGCCCTGAGAAGTACGTATACCATGTTAACTCCGCTGCCTTGGTCCCTTCCAGCTCACACCTCTCACATGCCTGCCCATCTCCATAGTTTTGTGGGAAAGGTTTTCTCTCCTACCCCAAAGATGTCCATGTATAGCCCTGCCCAAAGTGACACACTTCCTGAGTAAGCACAGGTGACAGTTCTCCCTTGCCTGTCTTATCTTTCTCCTGCCATCTCTGGGCTCCTGTGGGATGACTTTCTAGAAAGTTAGTCTCCCCTTCCCAACAAAGATGCTGATGCCACACAAGTAGCAGCCATTCTTCAGTGGGCCATAATTGTTGTTTCTGGAATACTGGGTTAAAACAGCCTTCTGAGCCCACAGCCACTTGTAATCCTTGCTACTAAAAAGGCTAAGATCTGAGGATTGTGATTCAAAGCCAGCCCAGAAAGGAAAGCCCATGAGACTCAGCACCAGCAAAAAAAACTAATAGTAGAGGTGTGGCTCAAGGGGTAGAGCGCTAGCTTTAAGCTAAAAAGCTCAGGGACAGTGTCCAGGCCTTGAGTTCAAGCACCAAGACTGGTAATGAGTGCGTGCGCATGTGTGCAAACACACATGCGCATCTTTCTGTTTCTGGTTTAAGCATGCTTTACAATAAAGCTCTTCCCTTGCTGGTCTACAGAGGGAGCAGTAAATATATGCTGAGTAGGCAACACCAGCATCTGGCACAAATTACTCACCAGGGCCCAAGGACCTCGTAAGGGTTTCAAGAGATCCATGAGCTCACTGAAAATATATTGAGTGCAGAGGACTCTGCGCATGCATGCACGTGCATACATATGCCGGTGTGTAGATTCATATACACAGTGTGCATTATCCCAGGAAAAGCATTCATGGATATCTTTGAGCAATTAATAGCCATGACTGAGAGCTAGGAGCCAGTGGTTCACACCTGTAATGCTAGCTACTCAGGAAGTTGAGATCTGAAGATCATAGTTCAAAGCCAACCCGGGTAGGAAAGTCTATGAGGTTTGTTTTTTTTTTAATCTCTAATTAACTACCAACAAAGCCAAACGTGGAACTGTGGCTCAAGTGGTAGAGTCCTGTTTTTTTTTTTTTTGTTTTTTTTTGTCGGTCGTGGGGCTTGAACTCTGGGCCTGGGCACGGTCCCTCAGCTCTTCAGCTCAAGGCGAGCGCTCTACCACTTGAGCTACAGCGCCACTTCCGGTTTTCTGGTGGTTTATTGGAGATAGGAGTCTCACGGTCTTTCTTGCCCGGGCTGGCTTTGAACCGCGATCCTCAGATCTCAGCCTCCTGAGTAGCTAGGATTACTGGCATGAGCCACCAGCGCCCAGCTTAGAGTCCTGTTCTTAAGCAAAAATGCTCAGGGATAGTGCCCAGGTCCTGAATGGCCCCCCAAAAAAAGCCATGACTGAAATAAAATTATGCAAAGTCAATGCCATGGAAAAGGTAACTTTTTTTTTTTTTAGTGTTTGCTCATATTAGAGCTTAAACTCAGGGCCTACGTGTTGTCCCTTACCTTTTTCTACCATGTGGACCACACCTTTACTTCTGGCTTTTTAGTGATTAATTAGAAATAAGTCTCATAGACTTTTCTGTCTGGTCAAGCTTTCAAACAAGACCCTCAGATCTCAGCCTCTTGAGTAGCTAGAATTACAAGTATGAGCCAACAGCACTTGGTCTGAAAGAAAACTTTTTTTTTCTTTTTGCCAGTCCTGGGGCTCGAACTCGGGGTCTGGGCATTGTCCCTAAGCTTCTTTTTGTTTTTGCTCAAGGCTAGCACTCTACCATTTGAGCCCCAGTGCCACTTCCAGCTTTTTCTGTGTATGTGGTACCCAGGAATGGAACCCAGGGCTTCATGCATGCTAGACAAGCACTCTACCACTGAGCCACCTTCCCAGCACTGAAAGAAACTTTTTTAGGCTTGGCATCCTGGGGTCTGGCCTGTGGTCAGCCACTTGGCAGATGGTGCCTGACTACTGCATAAGGAGTTGGGGGTGAGGGTAACCCTTCCAGGCTGGAACACTCATCACTTCCTCCTGCTCTTTGTTTGCAGACAGTCCAGTGGTAGAATTAGAAAGAGTTCATTCTCCTCCTCCCAGAGCCTTGTATTCATGTCCCCACTGCATCCATCACTCAGGCTTGGATGCCACACCCTGCCCTGTACAGGTGCTATGACCCCAGGGTCACCTGACTCTCTCACCCTGTGTAGACAGAGCCACAGAAAACTCAGTGCTTGCCAGGCGCCGGTGGCTCATGTCTATCATCCTGGCTACTCAGGTGGCTGAGATCCGTGGATGGCGGTTCAAAGCCAGCCTGGGAAAGAAAGTCTGTGAGATTCTTACCTCTAACCACCAGAAAATCAGAAGTGGCACTGTGGCTCAAAGTGGTAGAGTGCTAGCCTTGAGCATGGAGAGTGGCCAGGCCCTCAGTTCAAGCCCCACAACCAACAAAAAAAAGGGGAGGGGGCAGAGAAAGGAAGCCAGCAAGCTCAGTGTGTGACCTTGTTTCCATTCCAGGTGCCCAGAGTCCACCTGTAATCCTGTAATCCTAGCTACTCAGTGCCTAAGACCTCATCCTTCCCAAGACCCCACAGCCTTTGGGATTAGCTTTTCTGAGAGTCTCTTTATATTTTTCCTATATTCGCTGGGCATTGGTAGTTCACACTTGTAATCCTAGCCAATCAGAAGGCTGAGATCTGAGAATCCCAGTTCAAAGCCAGCCTAGCAGGAAAGTCCACAAGATCTGAGACTTTCCAATTAACCAGCAAAAAGCCAAAAGTGCAGCTGTGGCTCAAATGACAGAACTAAGGTAAGCAAAAAAAGGCCCTGAGTTCAAGCCCCACTATGCGCATGTCTATACACACACACATATACACACACACACACACCTGAAAAATAACAAAAATGTCCAGAGCAAAGTCCCAATGGGCCTAATTCCACGCATCTAAGGTGAGTGGGGCCTCGTGGATTCCAATAGGGCCTCCACAGTCATCCTCCACAGGAGGCTAAGTGACTTGCCCACAGTGAGCAAGACTAGAGTCCCTGGGTGCCTCCTGCTGGACCCCACTGCTTCCCTTCCCCCATCTGTACCCACCCCCACCCCTGACTACAGGATCTACAGCCATCAGCAACTCAGCTTACCAATCTCATGGAACTGCCTTGCTTGCCAGGCAGGGCCTTGCTCCGCATATATTCCTTTTACAAGGAGTGTGGCTTCATCACCCAGCAACTCAGCCTGCCTGCCTTCCTCCTTCTGTCTCCATCCATCTCCCCACACCTCCATCCAGCCAAGCCTGCCAGAACAGCCCCTATGGGCTAGCTCCAATCCAGGCACATGTCCAAGTCTCCCCAACCCCATCAGGCCCTAGGACTGCAGCTTCTACCCACCCCGCTAACGTGTTTGTACCAAACCCATGATTCCTTTTTTTTTTTGTCTTGGACTCAAATTCTTAATTTGATGCTTTCACTCATTGGCTGGTGCTCTACCACCTGAGCCACGCCTCCAACCCCAAACCCATGATTCCATCTGAGCACAGGAAGAGCAGAGACATCTGGGGTGAGCTGAGGCCTGCTGGAATTATATCACTTGCACCCTATTCTACCTCTCCCATTGCCCTTCCCCCCTCCCCCCACCCCCCACTCCCTCCCCCGCCCTCCCCACCCCCGCCAAAAGCTGGGACAAGCCCCTACATACGAATGCAGAAGTCTCCATTCTCATAGTAGCCCGGGCAGCACTGGGACCGCCGCCGGTACATGGTCCGAAGCCCGCGCCGATATGCTGTCTTATAGCTGATCCTACAGACACAAGGGAGAGAGGCACTTGAAAATATTGAAAAATCAATCTGTCCCGTTTAGAATGATATTTGTGTTAAGCTCTATCGAGGATGCCATTCAATAATTACTTGAAAATGCATGGCGCCTTTGAATTTGGAGGACCACAATAAAGAAAAATCAATGTGGGCTGCTGTGACACAGAATGTATTACCCAACGTGGGGTTTGAGAAATCTGCTGACTTCCAATCTCTTCCAAGATAGAAGGGTTCTGGGAGATTCCAGCTGGGGTAAGTAACATAGTGGGGTGAGCGCTATGGGTTTCAGTCTGTCCTTAGAATGGCCAAGGTATGGGGTAGAGAGCTCTGTGCTCACCCCTGGTATTTCCCACCAAGATGCCACTTCCAGTCTGGGGTGTTAGCTGCCCACTTGAAGATGGGGTACAGAGACAGGAAGAGAATCTCTGAGTTGATGTGATCCTAGAGTAATCTTCCACTTACCAAAAATAATGGCTCCTGCCAGGCACTGGGGACTCACTCCTGTAATCCTAGCTACTCAGGAGGCTGAGATTTGAAGATCTCTGATTAAAGCCAGCCCAGGCAGGAAAGCCCGTGAGACTCTTATCTCCAATTAATCTCCAGAAAACCAGAAGTGGTGCTATGGCTTAAAGCAGTAGAGCGCTAGCCTTGAACAAAAGAGGTCAGAAACAGCATCCAGGCCTCAAGTTCAAGTCCCATAACTGACAAAAAAAAAAGAAAAAGAAAAAGTTCTCCTAGAAATCTCCACTGGTATGCTCTGTGGATTCCATTATCTTTTCTTTTTTTTTTGGGGGGGGGGGGGCGGGGGTCCGGTCGTGGGGCCTGAACTCTGGGCCTGGGCACTGTCCCTCAGCTCTTCAGCTCAAGGTTAGCGCTCTACCACTTGAGCCACAGCTCCACTTTCCCGCTTTTTTCTTTTTGTTTGTGTGGTGCTGAGGAATCGAACCCAGGGCCTCAGGCATGCAAGGCAAGTGCTCTACCACTGAGCCACCTTCCCAGCCCAGGATTCCATTATCTTTTATTGCATTTTTCTTATTATTTCTCCACATCCTTGTCTTCCCCTCTCCCCCTTTGTGTTTTGTTGTTGTTGTTGTTTGTACTGTTTTGTATTGGTGCTGCTTCTGGGGCTTACACTCAGGGCCTGAGCCCTGTCTCTTTGTCACTCAAGGCTGAGTCTCTTCTGGTTGAGCCACACCTCCACTTCTGGCTTTTTTTGCTGGCTAATCGAAGATGAAAGTCTCATGGACTTTTCCTGTCCAGGCTGGTTTTGATCCTCAGATCTCAGCCTCTTGAGAAGCTAGAATTCCAGGTGTGAGCCGGCATGCTCAGCAAATAATCCTCTGTCTTTCTTTCTTTCTTTTTTTTTTTTTTTTTTTGGGTCCGGTCGTGGAGCCTGAACTCTGGGCCTGGACGCTGTCTCTCAGCTCTTCAGCTCAAGGCTAGCGCTCTACACTTGAGCCACAGCGCCGCTTCTGGCTTTTTTCTCTTTTGCTCATGTGGTGCTGAGGAATCGAACCCAGGGCCTCATGCATGCAAAGCAAGCGCTCTACCACTGAGCCACCTTCCCAGCCCATAATCCTCTGTCTTGAAGGCAAAGCTCTTTCTTTCCACTCACCCAACACACCAGCTCTGTGGCCCCTCCGCCGAGAGAGCAGCTTGGGCCCTGAGGGACTGCACCTGCCTCCCAGATGCTGTCAAGGAAGCGAAGGTCATTCTACTTCATCAAAAGCCCGTGATGAGAGGTAGGCTGGCTGGGCTGAGATGCTATTTCCTGTGCCCAGGAAGGCAGTCCCAGCAGTTCACGGGGAGTCTGTTAGCCTCTCCCAGGTGAAGAATGACTCCAAGTTGACGTGGAGGTCATCCGTCCATTCTCTGCGCAACACAGGATTGACCCCAAGTGTTCCAAGCGGGGGAGGTAGGCTTTGCATCCCAAGCATCTTTCAAAAGAGAGATGGTACCCACCCTGCTCTGGCTCACCTAGTCTTGTTCCCCACCCCGGACCCCAAGTACAAGAAGCAGAAGGAGGCTGGGTGGGGCCAGGTCTGCTCTAGGGAGAAAGATGCTGAAAAAAAAGCTAGTCCACCCGCAGCTGACGGATGGTGGCGCTGTCAGCAATGCTCTCCCTGGGTCATCAAGAAAGTGGCACCGACTCAATAATTTAGTCCAATAATTCATGTTCCAGGAATACAGTGTATTTTAATAAGCAGCCCAGGCACTCTCCCAATGCAGGGATGATGGACGGCAGCTGGCACCTCCAAAAAACAATGTAGTCATACCTCAGAAACAAACTGCACACTGACACAGAGATGCCAGGACTCAGGGGCAGAGAAAAGCAGCATCCTCATTTCTATTCATTTCTTTATTTTTGGTGCCAGAACTAGGGTTTGAACTAAGGACCTGGGAACTGTCCTGTAGCTTTTTTTTTTTTTTTTTTTTTTTTTATTTTATTTTTTTATTGTAAAGCTACTATACAGAGGGTCACAGTTACATGAGTGAGGTTATGAGTACACTTCCTCTTGAACATTGTTACCCCCTCCATTGTTTTCCCCCTACCATCCCCTCCCTCCCTCCCTTCCCCGAGGTTCTTTTTTTTTTTTTTTTTTTTGATTGTGATTAAATGATTACATAATTTCAAAGTCACAAGTTCATTCTAACTTCCCTGGAGCAAATTGTCTACCACAGTCTGTAATATATAACAGTGTTCACATGTTATATACCATATTTGTGATCAGCAGCATGAGGATATTTAGTAGTGGTTCAACCAGATGAGCGGGAGTTCTTTGTTTCTTAAGTCCTGTTAGTTTTGTCGTATCACTAACCTTTTGGATTTAGCATCCACTTATGAGGGAGACCATGTACCGTTTGTCTCTTCGTTCTTGGCTTACCTCGCTCAACATGATTCCTTCTAGCTCCATCCATTTCCCTGCAAATGCCATTATTTTGTCATTTCTAATGGCTGCATAATATTCCATTGTGTATAGATACCACAATTTTTGGATCCATTCATCTGTGGTGGGGCACCTAGGTTGTTTCCATATCCTAGCTATTGCGAACAGTGCTGCAATAAACATGGAGGTGCACGTGTCCTTGTATATTGGTTCCTGTTGTTCAGGGTAGATGCCTAGAAGTGGTATGACTGGGTCGTAAGGGAGGTCAATCTTTAGCTTTCTAAGGACCCTCCAGACTGCTTTCCAAAGTGGTTGTATAAGTGTACATTCCCACCAGCAGTGTAATAGGGTTCCTCTTTCTCCACATCCCCTCCAGCATTTGTCGTTGGCTGATTTGTGGATGTGGGACATTCTGACTGGGGTAAGGTGGTATCTCAGGGTTGTCTTTATTTGCATTTCCTTCACCACCAGGGATGATGAACATTTCCTCATGTGTTTCTTTGCCATTTTTATTTCTTCATTTGAGAAGTCCCTCTTTAGTTCCCTTGCCCATTTAGTAATTGGTTTGTTAGGTTTGGGAGGGATTAGTTTCTTGAGTTCCCTGTATATACAGGATGTTAACCCCTTGTCTGATATATTGCTGGTAAATATTTTTTCCCAATTAGTTGGTTGTCTTTCTAGCTTAGTTGCGATAGATTTAGCTGTGCAGAAGCTTTTTATTTTAAGGTAGTCCCATTTGTCGAGTCTCTCTCCAACTTGTTGTGACCCTGTGTCCTGTAGCTTTTTTGCTCAAGGCTAGCACTCTACCCCTAGAGCCACAGATCCACTTCTGGTTTTCTGGTAGTTAATTGGAGATTAGAGTCTCACTGACTCTCCTACCCAGGCTGGCTTTACACTATGATCCTCAGATCTCAGCCTCCTAAGCAGCTAGGATTACAAACATAAACTACCCACATCTGGTAGCATTCCTATTTACTTCCGACATCACTAGCCAGGGACACAGGCTAGTAACACTGGCAAAATCAGGGGAGAGGAGAAGGGAAGATCTGGCCCCACCTCTGCTCTTCACCAGGGGAAGAGGAGGAGGATGAAATGATGCCTGAGTAGCTCTTCCAAGAATAACTATGAAAACTTGGAGCAAAGTACAAACTGTAATTCCCTCGGGCAGCAGAGAAGGAATTACCATGGACAGGTAGCAGGGAGAAGTAAGTATGTAAAAGAAGGGATGGCCCTGACAGACTTACCCAACAACACCCTGGGTAGATGAAATTCAGAGAAAACATAAACAAGCTGTGCTGGTAGCCCATATCTGTAATCCCAGCTATTCTGGAAGGCTAAGATCTGAGAATCACAATTCAAAGCCAGTCCAGACCGAAAAGTCTGTGAAATTCTTACATTGAATGAACAAGCAAAAAGCCAGATATGGAGCTGTGGCTCAAGTGGTAGAGCACCAGCCTTGAGTGAGAACACGAGGTCCTGAATTCAACTCCTAGTAGTGGCAGACACACACACACACACACACACACACACACACACACACACACCCCACACCACACCACACCACACCACACCACTTAATTAGAATTAAAAAAATAAATAAAATAAAAAGTCAAGCATCCTGTTTTGAAGAGCCGAGGCTGGACCCAATAATTGTCAAGTAGAAAGGAAATCTAAAAAAAGCAGAAAGCCACGAAGAGAAAACTCCAAATTCTTCCAAAAAAAAAAAAAAATATGCCCCCAAACTCCAAAACTCTGAATTACATGCTTGAGGGACAGATCACAAGCCCACCAGCTACAGCTAAAAAAATTAATTAATTAATTAAAATTCCTGAATCCTCTGTTTGTAATTTGAGTTTAGTCAAGTTAACTAGCTGCTAAAACAATAATTTCTTTAAAAAGTTAAAACATTTTGGAGGGGGACTGGGAAGGTGGCTCAGTGGTAGAGCGCTTGCCTTGCATGCATGAGGCTCTGGGTTCAATTCCTCAGCACTACATAAGCAGAAAGAAAAAAAAAACATTTTGGAGGAACATGACAGTGTCCTATGAACTGCGTATTTCATATTACAATGCCTAGAATACAATCCAAAATTACTGAACACATGAAGCAAGTGGAAAATATTACCTACACAAGAGAAAAAGGAAGTCTATGACAACTCATGACCCAGATGCTGGAATTAGCAGGCAAGAATTTTAAAGTAGAATATAATAGCCATGACAATGTCTCACAGACAGCTAGTAGAAAATATCAAAGAAAACCACTGTTTCGGTCTCACAGGGCAGAGAAAATTTCCACCAGGAACCCCACCTAAGCCCGCAGAAAGGATCTGAATTGACAAGAAGAAAGCAAATGAGAAATCTGGCCTCTCACTGGTAGCTCAGAGCTGTAATCCTAGCAACTCAGCAGGCTGAGATTTGAGGATCACATTTCCAAACTAGTGTGGGCAGGAATATTGAGATTATTATCTCCAATTAACCAGTAAAAAGCTGGAAGGAGAGGTGTGGCTCAGGTGGTAGAGCACCAGGCTTGAGCAAAAATACTCAAGGACAGCATGTAGACACTGAGTTCATCAGCACACACACACACACACACACACATACACACACACATACACACACACGTGTGTGCACACGTGAACACACACATGTATGCACACACACATATACACACAATGACCTATCCAGGGTCATCCCTCAGGACATGTCCTCTCTTCCTGCCCCCTACCCCTGTGACAATATGTCATGATTTTCAGGAGAGCTGCAGACAAAGGTACAGCATGACCATATGCCACTGTTCACAATGGCCATTGTTAAGAGCGCCCTGGTCAAGGTGCCATGAGGTTTTGCTCCATTCTAGCCTGAACTCTGTTCTCTAAGCCAGATGGGTCTCTATCTGTTCAGAATTGGCTCGTGCTGGATTCTGTTTTCCTCCAGGAGACAAGGGAGCAAAATGAGCAGTCTATTCAGGAGGGGACTCTGGGAAGCATTCCATGACACGGATGTGGAGCCAGGAGTGTGGGTGGGTTAGTGAGCAGATTACTTGTGTGACCCATCCACTGGGGACACACTGCAGAACATGACTCACAGTTGAGCACCAGTGGCTCACACCTGCCATCCTAGCTACTTAGGAGATTGAGATGTCAGGATCACAGTTCAAAGCCAGCCTGGGCAGGAAAGTCCAAAAACAAAATCCTCTCACTTTAAGGATAAGGAAGGTAGAGTGCTCATCTACCAACTCCCCATCTGTCACCGGATGACGATACCCCAATGATACTAGCTCCAGCACTGTGCTACGAAGGCCTTGTCCTGACCCCTACCAAGCCCAGCCCTACAGCCAAAATCCTCCATCCCATCTTTTTTTTTTTTTTTTTTTGCCAGTCGTGGGGCTTGAACTCAGGGCCTGGGCACTGTCCCTGAGCTTCTTTTGCTCAAATCTAGCTCTCTTCTACTTGAGCCACAGCTCCAATGCTGGTTTATTCTGTTTACGTGGTACTAAGGAATTGAACCCAGGGCTTCATGCATGCTACACAAGCACTCTACCACTAAGCCACATTCCCAGCCCTTCCACCCCATCTTTAGACACAGGTACTGACCGGTGCCGGGTGCACTTAAACCAGTTGAGGATATCCGTGCATCTTGTGTAGTAGATCTGATCGAAGGGGTGTGCGTAGGACTCCTGGACCGTCACCGCATAGCTGAGGACCAGAGAGGAGACAGAAATCACAGTCAGCACTAGACAGACCAACCTGGTCAGCAAGACACACTCCCCTCCCCAGGTACACAGCCCTGAGACCACGCTCTGTCCTCTTCTTCCACAATGCCGACCTCCTGCCCTAGACACCCAAGCCCAAAGACCTCCCTGGCCCCAGGCTGGCCCCAGGACACTGGCTTGCTAATTTCCTGAAATCCCTTATTTACCAGAGAGGAAATAAAGGAGGATTTAAGTTTCTGCTGTGTGGTTCTGAAGGTACAGTCAGTAAGTTTAAAAATATTTCTGTTAGCCCAGGACGGCAGTACATTCCTATAGTCTCTTCTACTCAGAGAAAACATCGTGAACTCAGGAGTCAAGGTAAACCTGGACAACTTAGGCAGGTACTCTCCCACTAAGCCATGCCTCCAGCCCCAACTTTTTGCTGGTTATTACTGGATAGGGTTTGTCTTCCTGCCTATAAGTATATTAATTTTAAGCTTTTCCTGGCTGCTCAGATGACAGACCCATGTTACCATGTCCAGCTTCCCTCCATTGAGATGAGGGCTCTTCTGCCCAGGCTATCCTAGAACCATGATCTTCCCACTCTAAGTCTCCCAAGTAGCTGAGATTACAGGTATGCACTACCAGAATACAGCTTTGTTTATATCTTAATGGTTTTCAAATGAAGTGAAGTAAGCCGGGCACTGGTGGCTCACGCCTGTAATCCTAACTACTGAGGAGGCTGAGATCTGAGGATCATGGTACAAAGCCAGCCTGGGCAGAAAAGTCTGTGAGCCTCTTATCTCCAATAAACCACCAGAAAACTGGAAGTGGTGCTGTGGCTCAAGTGGTAGAGCGCTAGCCTTGAACTGAAGAGCTGAGGGACAGCGTCCAGGCCCAGAGTTCAAGCCCCAAGATCAATAAAAATAAAAATAAGAAGAAGAAGTAGTCCCATTTTACAGATGAAGAATGAAGAACCTGAGGCTGAGAGAGGTAGCTGGCCGGTATCTCCTGTCTAATTCCTTTTAATTTGCAGCCTGTCTCATAAAGTCATGGGATTGCTATGCTCACTTTATCCATGAGGAAATGGAGCGTCAGATAGAATAAATGACTTCCCTAAGCTCATCCCACCCAGAACCTTCTAATCTGCTCTGCTTCTTGGGGTACATGGAGGATGTGCCCTGGACCTCGTGGTAGAAAGCGCAATTACTTAAAAAACAAACAAATAAAAACAAAGGGCTGGGAATGTGGTGTAGTGGTAATGTGCTTGCCTCTCTAGCCTTAAACAAAAGAAGCTCAGGGACAGTGCCCAGGCCCTGAGTTCAAGCCTCAGAACTGGCAAAACAAAAGATCAAGCTGCGGGCTGGTGGCTTGTGCCTGTAACCCTAGCTATTCAGGAGGCTGAGAGCTGGGATTTGAGGTTCGAAGCCAGCCCAGAAGTCCATGAGATTCTTATCACCAATAAACTACTCAGAAAAAGCCATAGTGGCACAGTGGCTCAAGTGGTAGAGCACTACCCTTGAGCACAAAGAGGCTCAGGGACAGTTCCCAGGCCCTGAGTTCAAGCTCCAGGACTGGCAAACAATAATAATAATAAATAATAGCCATCCTTTTAGGGGTTGGAGGCGTGGCTCAGGTGGTAGAGCACCAGCCAATGAATGAAAGCATCCGTTACTGAATTTGAGTCCAAGTTAAAAAATAAATAAATAACAAAACCCAGAGGGGATAATTATGCTCCTGCCTATTGGCTGGGAACCTGACCCAGCAGGGAGCATTGTTGGGGTACCAGAGCTCAGCTGCGGCAGTGAAAGTCTCCCTCTGTGTCCTGGCAGGGAGGTGAGCGATGGCAGAGACCTGGGCAAGGCTGAAACGTGGGGGACACGCCCCCTCCCACCCTCATCCCCCACGGACACTCAATAGCACCTCAGCTGCGGTCTCGGGAATTAATTTTCTTATTGGCTTGGCTCTGTTTCCCCCACAAGGCTGTCTGGCTGACCTGAGCCAGATGGTCTGGTCCAGGCCATAAAAGCCCATCTGCTTTGCCTGGAGAAGCGGTTGGTTCAATGGCAAGGCAGCTGCGCATGCGTGGGTCCACGCTGGTTCTCAGAAGTCTGTAAGGTCAAAAGCCTGTAAACCAGTAGCAAGCCAGGCACCATCAACGGTGCTCAGGGACCCAGGTCTTGGGGAATTCTGTCTGAGATGCTGAGGATGGATACAGGGCTCTGGGTGTACCCCCATTAATAAGTACACTAGAGATGAACCCCAGAAACACAGGTAGGGCCCAAAAGCCTGTTCATCAGAGTACCCAGGCTCTGGAATACAAAAGCACAAGACCAACTTAGAAGCTTGTCATTTATTAGCATGACTTGAGATGTGTAATTTTTCTTTTTTTTTTTTTTTTTTTGTCGTCGGTCGTGGGGCTTGAACTCTGGGCCTGGGCGCTGTCCCTCAGCTCTTCAGCTCAAGGCGAGCGCTCTACCACTTGAGCTACAGTGCCACTTCTGGTTTTCTGGTGGTTTATTGGAGATAGGAGTCTCACGGTCTCTCCTGCCCGGGCTGGCTTTGAACCGCGATCCTCAGATCTCAGCCTCCTGAGTAGCTAGGATTACAGGCATGAGCCACCAGCGCCCGGCTTGAGATGTGTAATTTTTCTCAGTGTGTGTATGTGTACCAGTACTGGGGCTTGAACTCAGGGCCTGGGCACTGTCCCTTACCTTTTTTGCTTAAGGCTGGTGCTCTACCACTTGAGCCACAGCTCTTCTTCTAGCTTTTGCTGGTTCATTGGAGATGTCTCATGGGCTTTCCTGCCCTGGCTGGCTTTGAACTGCAATCCTCAGATCTCGTTCTCCTGAATGGCTAGGATTACAGGTGTGAGCCACTGGCACCTGGCTTAATATGTGCTATTTAACTCCTATAAGCCTCTGTGTCCCTGCACACAGATCTAGGATAAATACCAGTGACTCTCGTAGCTATCATAAGGATTAAGACACCTCTCAGAGTGGTGGGAAGACCAAACATGCATATCAAGTGCTTGTCCGGCATACAGTAGGTATCTAATAGATGCTGGCCATTGTCACCTGCCATCTCGGCACTGAATGTGTTTTCCTCCTAACCATGTAGGCAGGGAGAGAAAGAGAGGGGAAGGAAAGGAGGGGGCAGGGAAAGTAAAGCAAGATCTATATGTAGAATGGATTCCCCACCTTTGCTAAGCAGCAGGGGGTTCAGTCTCCACTTCTGGCATTGGCAAGGACAGTGGGTGCCTAGAAAAGGCAGCAGTCCATCAACAAGGGGTGGCGGGGTCCTGAGGGTGGACCCCACTTCCATAGGATTCCCTGGGTTGAGCAACTCTGCCAATAAGGCCTTGTACCAACTTGCAAGTCTGTGACCTGTAGCCTGGGCCCTGATTTCACAGCTGGGTGGATTAACACTGCTCATTTGCCAACATGCTAATGAGGAGCCCATGAAGCCTGTAGAGCTAGGCTTTACCACCCTACAATGGGTGCTGCACTGGGTTTGATGGTAGCAGGGAATAATTAACAAGGAGCCCACCATAGTGGTGCTAATCTAGCTGGGAGAGCCGCCCTATGGGGTCTCTGAAACTGGCCGTGAATGGTGAAAGATAGATCCACCCATGCACAACTTGCAGAGGAATTCCTTTAGAAGACCCAAGCAGGAGGAGGAAGCTGGCATCAGTAGGCCTCAGGGGGAGCCTGAAGGATCCCGGATCTTGGTTTTACTGTCTCTTCATTCTTGGTCCTCTATCTCAAATACAACCTCCGCTGAAGGCCCCAGCCCCCAGAATAATCAGCTTGCCCCCAACATTTTATGTCCCACACTTACTCACATTGGATTTCCAAGCTGGGTTAAATTGGAAGCCAGAGGTTCACGCCTTTCATCCTAGCTACTCACGAGCCTGAGATCAGAGGATCCAGGCTCTGAGGATCAAGATTCAAAGCCAGCCCAGAAGAGTCCATGAGACTCTTATCTTTAATTAAATCATCAAAAAGCCAGAAGTAGAACTGGAAATCAAGTGGTAGAGTTACTGGCCTAGAACACAAACACTCAGGGACAGAACTCAAGCCCAGAGTGCAAGTCCAGCATCAAAAAAAAAAAAGTCACTAGAGACCACACCAGTGTAGGCAATGTCTACAAGAGTCCAGGCCCCTCCCCTCCCTCCCCCAGAGGCAGCTCTGATTGGGTGAGGTGTTTTCTCTGTCATGGGGTCAGCCACTTACCTTCTGGGGAATGATATATGACCACCCCCCCCCTTGCCTCCCTCCTCTGTGACCCTCCCCCACCCCTGAATCAAGGCTTCACTTAATTTTATTCATTTGATTTATTAGCATCTAAGTGGCAGAGTCGTCCTGGTCAGCATGGCCAATCAATTCCAGGGTTTGATTGGGGGGGGGGGGTGTTCCCCCCTTTTTTTTTATTCTGATTGGATCTCTGGTCACTGTCTTTCTTGCTCACCAAAAATCAATACTTTCACCTTGTGCTTCAAAGTCAGACCAGCCGCAAGGACCCAGCCATTCTCCTCCCCACAGGACAAAGTGCTGCAGCCAGAATGCAGGGATTCCTTCTGCTGCTGTGGCCTCAGCGACCCCTTCCTCAACCAGTCCCCAGTCCCTAGCAGATGAAGCAGCAGAGCCCTCATCCAGCCTCCTTCAGGCCTCAGCCCAGCTGCCATGTGGATGCCAGTCCCACAAGTGAGGGACGGGGGTCCCAGCATCAGGGAACATTTGACACCAGAGTCCTCATCCCCCCACCCTCTGATCCTTATTTGACCATGAGTATGGATAAAGCTCCTCTGGGCCTGTATTTCTTCATCTGTAAAAGGGGTAGGAAGCTGCCAGGCGTAGGTGGCTCATGCCTATAGTCCTAGTTACTCAGGAGGCTGAGAGCTGAGAATCATGGTTGGAATTCAATCTAAGCAGGAAAAAAAAAAAAAAAAACGGTCTGTGAGACTCTTGTTTCCAATCAACCAGCAAAAAGGCAGAAATGGAATTGTGGCTCCGGTGGTAGAACACCAGCGCACCTAGGCCCTGAGGGCAAGCCCTAGTTACCAGCACAATCACAGACACAGGCAAGGACAGCACGGTGTCAAGGTCAAGTTCAGTGAGTAAATACAACTCTCCATCTCAGCCTGGCCCTGTCCTTTAGCATCTGAGCTGTGCCACAGCCAGACTGCTGGCTGCTGTCTCTGCAGATTCTGCGTCTGCCATACCCAGGCAAGCTCCCTAGGGATGCCTAGTTGAAGCCCACAGCTTACCTCTCCCAGTGGCTGCACACATTGGGGTCCTCGGGGTTTAGGGTGAAGACAGTTTGCAGGAAAGAGACAACCAGCAGGCTGGCCACGGGGAGCGCCATCAGGGCCTGTAGGGAAGGAGAAAGAAAGATGGTGTCTTACTTCAAACCCAGACTTGTATAGGGGCAGCTGTTGGGTACTGGGGTAAGGGGAAGCATGCTCACAAAGTCTCCCATCCCTGAGGTATAATACACATTTACTTTTTTACATCTGCTCACTCACCAGTTCTGAGTAATGAACTGCACAGGAGAAAGCTTGGGTAGGGGGGATCAGTGGGGCCAGGGAGGGGGTAGGGCAGGAATTCCAGTCCCAGGGCTTGAACTCAGGACCTGGGCACTGCCCCTGTGCTTTTGTGCTCAAAAAAGTTAGCACTCTACCATTTGAGCCACAGCTCTACTTCTGGCTTTTGGCTAATTGGAAATCAGAGTTGCTGAGACTTTGCTGTCCAGGCTAGCTCCCAACCTTGATCCTCAGATCCTCCTGAGTAGCTGGGATTACAGGCAGGAGCCATCAGCACAGGCTCTGAGCTTAGCCTTGACCCAGAAACCCAGAGCCTTCTCCTGTTCGGCTCCCCGATCTTTGACAAGCCTGACCATCCACTTCCTCTCCTTGCTCTATCTTGCCACAAACAAGAGTAGAAGGGCATCCGGGCCCCTTCCAGGAGGTGCCAATTGCTAGCTGCCCAAAAGGCTAGTCACTGTCTTTGCTGCCTCCTGTAAGGTATCAACCACCTATACTCAGGATGATGGAACCAAGTACCATCCCCACAGCCTGGAAAAGGTCTCCTCCCATCGGCTGCAATTCCTTTTAGTGCCAGCATGCGGCAGATGTTCAATGTGCACACACCCATGCCAACCCTGTTCACTAAAAGGGGGATCGCTGCCACAGGACTCCTCAAAGAGGACAGAGCATTATTTGAGTGGCAGTGACTGAAGACTCTAGCATCCTGTGGCCCCAGCTCAGACAACAAGTTCTAAGCCAGGAGCTGGTAGCTCAAGCCTGTCATCTTAGCTACTCAAGAGGCTGAGATCTGAGGATCGTGGTTTGAAGCCAGCCTGGGCAAGAAAAGTCCATGAGACTCTTATCTCCAATTAACTGCCAGAAAACAGGAAATGACTGCTGTGGCTCAAAGTGGTAGACCCCCACCCTCAAGCTCAGGGATAGAGGCCAGGCCCTGAGTTCAAGCCCAATGACCGACCAAAAACAAAAACCCAGAGATTTGAAAAAATTATGGGTTCATGCCTGTAAATCTAGTTACTCAAAAGACTGAGACCTGGGCTGGGAAGTTGGCTCAGTGGTAGAGTGCTTGCCTTGTGTGCAGGAGGCCCTGGGTTCGATTCCTCAGCACCACATAAACAGAAAAGGCTGGAAGTGGCGCTGTGGCTCAAGTGGTAGAATGCTAGCCTTGAGCTGAAGAGCTGAGGGACAGCGCCCAGACCCACAGTTCAGGTCCCAAGACTGACAAAAAAAAAAAGACAGACCTGGTCAGTTCAAAGGCAGACAAGAGAAAAAAGGCTGAGAGACTTCACCTCCAAATAATCAACCAAATGCTAAAATGAAGGCATGGTTCAAATGGCAGAGCAACATCACCGGTGCATTAGGAAGTCATGTGAGAAGCTGGGCCTGTAATCCTAGCTACTCAGGAAGCTAAGATCTGAGTGAGGATGGTGGTTTGAAGCCAGTCCAGGTAGAAAAGTCTGTGAGACTCTTATCTGTAATTAACCACCAAAAAACCAGAAGTAGAGCTATGACTCAAGTGGTAGAGTGGCAGGATTGAGTGAAAACGCTAAGGGACAGCACCTGAGTTCAAGCCCCAGTAGTGATACACACACACACACACACACACACACACACACACACACACACACACACACACACACACACACTTCAAATCCAAGCATTCCCATTTGCTAGGCTGCTGACCTTGGGTGTGGGGGAGGGGAGGGGCCCTCCAGAGGACCCAGAAGTCCCCATGCCATCTACAGAATGAATGAATGAATGCACACCATAACTAGCCCAGATGGTGCTGATTTTTTTTTTCCTATGTACCTAGAGGCTATTATGATTTACTTAAAAGCTTTATGGAAGTCAGAATGGCTTTTCTCCTTAACCAATGAAGTAAACAGCACAATTCCTCTATGGGGGATGGGGGCCAGGGGTGTTTGACTCTGGAAAGGGATTGCAGGTTTGAAATGGGAAATCTAGACTTTGATCCTGGGTTCCCAGATAAGGTTCACTCACGTTGCTTAGGGAACAGATAACAGGGCATGCATTTCTCACGCACATATACATACGTGCACAGGTACACGCATGCATGCATGCACTTGCCTAGAACCCAGACACACTGCACCAGTTTAATGGAAAGGTTAAATTCCTCTCCTCCCCACCCCAGTCATTTCCTTGTTAAACTCCTTCTTAAACTGCTCTATCAGAGACAAATTGTCACAAATTTTGTATAACCGTGGGGGACCAAACTCATGATTAATGAGGTTTTACTTGCTATTAGAGATTGGAAATTAGCTAGCTAAATGCAGATTTCGCCCCACTTCAAATGCATTCTACAGTCCATTAAGAAAGAAAATTCTAAAGCTGGTGGCTCAAACCTGTGAGCCTAGCTACTCAGGAGGCTGAGACCTGAGAATCAAGGTTCGAAGCTAACCCAGGCAAGGAAGTCTGTGAGACTCTTACTTCCAGTGAAGTACCCAAAAATCCAAAAATGGAGCTGTGGCTCCAGTGGTAGAGTGCTAACTTTAGCAAAAGCTCAAGGACAGTGCCCAGGCCCTAAGTTCAAGCCCCAGGACTGATGTGCATGCGTACATACATATTCCCCCTCCCTCCCCACACACACACAAGAAAAGACTCTAGAGTCCCTACCCAACAAGCAGAGCCCAGAAAGCATGGCCACTCTTGGGTCCCGAGCCCTGCCTGGATCCACCCTGCCTCAAACCTCAGTAGTTACCCTTTACCACTGAATTCCCCAGAGCTATTACATCGCTCCATTCTCCTCTGGGAGAATCAAGAGTAGGAGAAGGAGCATCTCCAGAGCAGGAAATGGAGTTTGGGGAGAGTCAGCAAGGCACCCACATCTCCAAGGAAAGATTCAACTCAGGTTGCTCAAGCATCATATTTAGAAAGAAGCAACAAAGCCCAGAACAAGTGGTTCACACCTTCATCTGGGCTACTCAGCAGACTAAAATCTGAGCTCATGATTCAAAGCCAGACCAGTTAGTAATGTCCATGAGACTCTTATCTCCAATGAACCACCTAAAAGTCAGTTATTGGGGCTTGAACTCAGGGCCTAAGTGTCTCTCTCCCTTAACTCTTTTTTTTATCTCAAGGCTAGTGCTCTACCACTTAAACTATAGCTCTACTTCCAGTTTTTCTGCCCAAACTGGCTTGGAATCTCAAATCTTAGCTTTTAGCCCCTTACATTTTTTTTTTTTTTTTTGCAAGTCCTAGGGCTTGAATTCAGGGCCTGGGTACTGGCCCTGAGCTCTTTTGCTCAAGGCTAGCACTCTACCACCTGAGCCACAGTGCCACTTCCGGCTTTTTCTGCGTATGTGGTACTGAGGAATCAAACCCAGGTCTTCATGCATGCTAGGCAAAGCACTCTACCACTAAGCCACATTCCCAGCCCTCCTTTACCCTTTTGTCCTCAAGTCTGAACTTCTAAATATCTTCTACTCAACTGTAAAGACTGGCAATGGGCTGGACACGGATGGCGTGTCCTGGGCCACTGTAGCAGGTGTTTTACAGCTGGGCCTCCCACCCCAGTGAGCTTAGTGCCACCTCTCCCACACACATATACTGACACCTTCCCAGCATGCTTACTTTATCTTTCTGATACATCATAAGCACCCCAAGGCGGAGTCAAGCCCCCATCTGTCTTTTCAGAAGGTGATCTTAGAGAAAAAAACAATTTCAGCTTGTCTGAGACACTTCACTGAAGAAAAGAGCAATCAGAAAGGAGGTGTCACCACCTTAGGGTGACACCTGCCACCCGATCACTTCAATGGGACTTCCCAGCTCTCTCTTGAAAGATAGATTCCAAAGATGTAAGCTTATGAGATGACGGAGGGAAAAAAAATCAATCCTGCCACCTGATTATTAGGCTGACTCTATCTGGAGTGACAGAGGTTAACATCTCAGGTGCCCTCTGACTGGGAGCATTTATAACAAACGGTGGCTCACGTCTGGAATCCTAGCTACTCAGGAGGGTGAGATCTCAAGATCGCAGTTCAAAGCCAGCCTGGGCGGGAAAGTCTGTGAGACTCCTATCTCCCAATTAACTACCAAAAATAGCTGAAGTGGAGCTGTGGCTCAAGTGGTAGAGCACTAGCTTTGAGCACCTGGGCTGGATAGTTCAAGCCCCAGGATTGGCAGAAAGTAATAGTAACAACAATAATAATGATCATGATCATAATAATAAAAATTAATTCAGAACATGCCCCCAAATCATTTGAGAAGAAGGAACATAGAAGTCCACTATTTCTTCTTCCTCTTGTCCTCTCTTGGGAGAAGAAAGCAGAGTGGATTGAAAGGCAGGGAATGATTAGAGGCAGTGTTGAAGGGGAGAGGAGGAGGCCAGGGAGGCGCACACACACACACACACACACACACACACACACACACATACCCCACATCTGGCCTCCGGGCATAGTCCAAAGACATGCTGTAGCCTGAACTAATCAGAGGCACACTCCTGAGGCACCCCATTTGAGTCCTACCATGCTATGGTGATGCAGAAAAATAACACACTTTGGCTGTCATCCAGACAGGAAACTAAAAGCAGCCAATAGCGTTGAGTGCAGTAATGAAAGCCTGTAATCCTACATACTGTGCAGGCAATGACTGGAAGATCCCAGGTCAGGGCTAGCCTGGGCATAAAAATTCACAAGACTGGCTCGGGTGGCTCACACTTGTCATTTTAGCTACTCAGGAGGCTGAGATCTGAGGATTGCCATTCAAAGCCAACACAGGCA